CGGATCTCACCCGCAGCCCCTCGCTGTCGGTGCCCAGCAAACAGAGCTGCAGCCCCCGCTGCAGGTGCCCCTGTGAACCCCCCGGTTACCCGGCCTGTGCCATCGGCAGGTTTTGTACCTCTCTGTGTTCCTGCCTCCCACATCGCTGCACAGCCCCGCGGCTGTCCCTGTCCCCAGGAGCTGCGGGGACAGCAGGGGCAGGAGCCGGGGCTGTGCCTGTCCCTGTCCCTGTCCCTGTCCCTGTCCCTGTCCCGGCTCTGTCCCTGTCCCTGTCCCTGTCCCTGTCCCTGTCCCTGTCCCTGTCCCTGTCCCTGTCCCTGTCCCTGTCCCGGCTCTGTCGCCACCCGGGGAAGGAGGGCCACAGCAGGGGTAAGGGCACGGATGGGAATATCCCGGGCACGTTTTAAACCTGCAGCTCTTTGGCAGCCCTGGCTCGTGGCTGGGGACACTGGGACCAGGGAGGGGACATTCCCTTCCACCCGGGTGTGCCCGGGTGTGCCCGTTCCTCTGCCTTCCCTGCTCCCGAGCTCACCTGAGCCGGGCTGGCAGGTGACAGTGTGACACTGTGACAGTGTGGCAGTGTGACAGTGTGGCACTGTGACAGTGTGACATTCTGGAAGTGTGACACGCTGGCAATGTGACACTGTGACACTGGCTGTGTGGCAGTGTGGCACTGACAATGTGGCACTGTGACAGTGTGGCACTCTGGCAGTCTGACACTCTGGCAGTGTGACAGTGTGACACTGTGGCACTGTGACACTGTGGCACTGTGACAGTGTGACACGGGCAGTGTGACAATGTGACAGTGTGACAGTGTGACACTGTGACAATGTGACAGTGTGACAGTGTGACACTGGCCGTGTGACAATGTGACAGTGTGACAGGGGCCGTGTGGCAGTCCCGCCCAGCGGAAGGCCGGCAGCGCTGCTGTCCCCGCACAATGGGGACAGATGCAGGAGGAAGTGATTTGTCTGCCCGGGCCAGGGACACTCGCAGCTGTCCCACTTCCCCAGCCGACAGCGTCACCACTGCTCACAGCTCTGGCCGCCAACTCCTTCCTGGCTGAACAGCACAGCTTTTTCTTTTTATTTCTTTTTATTTCTTTTTCTTCCCCCCTCCTCTCTAAGGTGCAATTTATGATTCATTTAAAATGTCCTGCCAGGATATTTCAGCTGCTGTGTGATCTCCATTCCGTGGCTGTGCCTGGAGCACAGAGGCAGCAATGGTGCTTATTTTGTTACAGCTAAAAAAAAAAATAAAAAATGAGCAAGATGCAAAGTACAGCTGTGAGGAGGTGACAAGGACACAATGCTTGGCAGCCGAGCTGCTCTCACCCCTTGTGAATGGAGGTGTCAGTGCATTTCCCCTCACACTTAAAATAGAAATCTATGACTTGTCACTGGCTGTTGTAGCCCAGCACCTGCCTGGTCCCAGTTCTGCAAACTCCATCTGCTCTGTCCCTGCACCCAGCAGGGCACGGGGCAGGGTGGGGAGGGAGCTGGGGAGCACAAGCCACGGGTGGGTTTGGAGTTTAGGCTCTGGAACTGTTCATCAGAGGCTGATCCTGCTCTGGAGGCAGTGGGAGAACCCAAAGCCCTTGAGCAGGCTCTGCTCTGCCCAGGGACATGAAGGACAGGCCAGGGCTGTGTGGCACCACCAGGCGTGACGTGGGACAGGCAGGGACAGGCAGGATTCCCCTGCTCCTGCTCTGACATAAATCATGAGGCAGTGACAGCCCCGTTCCAGAGTGTTCCTGCAGCAGCCCCAAGCCCTTCACCCCAAAGCTGAATTTCTCCTGCTGTGCTCTCCTTGTCTGCCAGAGCTCAGGGCAGCAGGGCTGGGCTGAGCCCCCGGTCCAGCAGGGGCTGGCAGATGCCAGGCACGTGCAGGACATGACTCAGTTCCTGCCAGCTCCTGCCAGGCCGGGCTGGCAGCGTGTCCTGCTCTGTGCCAGCTGTGCTCAGCACCAGCCTGGGCACCTGGGCTGCTTCCCAGCCCCAGGAAACAGCAGCAGAAATGCAAAAATGCCAACCCCGAGCATCCCCCAACACACAGAGCGAGACTTTGAGCAGACCCCGCTCTTCTGGTGTTTGCTGTGAGCTCTCCCAGGAGACTCTGGGGTTTGCAGGGCCCCGGGGTGCTGCTGTGGGAAGGCCACCAGGAGCAGGGGACACCTCCTGGAGCCCTGGCTGCAGCCTCTGTGTGGGTGAGGGCACAGCAGGGACAGCCCCACTGCCCACGGGGACACTGCAAGGGCTGAGCTGTGCCTCAAGCACTCCCTTGTCCTCCTGCAGTGACACTGGTGGAGTGCCCAGCTCCTTCCACCAGGACAGGAGCCTGACTCACCCCAGCATGGCCTCGGGGCTCCCAGGGCTCGGGTGGGAGCTGGGGTAATTAAAACCTTCATGCTGATTGCACCAGTAAAGAGACTTTGCCTGGGGAGTAGAAGGAACCAACACATTGCCAGGTTATTTAATTCCAATAAATCATTTTAAAATATTCAGCTGTTATTTACATTAAGGCAACATTTGATGCCTCTGGGGGGAAGTGTAGAGGTGATTCAATATTTGTTATACATTAGTTGAGCAGACTTAGGTAAATTTACTTTAATAGGTTTTTTTTGCCTAATAATATTAAGCCTAAAAGAGAATGAAGGATGGATTTGCTGGAGAATTCTGAGCTGTGAAAATCTGTTGGTTCCTCAGTGTCTGACCCTGTTTCCTGGAGCTTGGGGAAGAGCTTGTGAGACTCCTCATACCTGGATCTGGTTACATTCATTCATTTATTTTTTAAAGTGTGTTGACTTAAGGGCAATACAGGCAGGGTCCCACCAAATATTAATTAAGGCAATTAATGAATTCCCACTAATATGAAGGTAATTAATGAACAATTCTAGGACATCAGGCTATTCTCAGTTTCACCTTGGGCCCCTCTGGCTGGCCACAGCAGTGACCACCAGCAGCACCTGCCATCAGCTGGCTGCAGATGGTGGGAGGGCTTTGCAATGCAAATCCTGGGGAAATGAAGAGCTAATCTGAGCAGGGCAGTTGTTCCCTGTGAAAAACCATCTCCACCTCTATCCTGGGCCTCCAGCCCTCCCCACTGCTCTCACAGGCTGGGGCCCAGGATGTTTTCACATCTTCTCCCAGGAGATCTAAAAATGCACGTGCCACGGTCCCGCTGCAGCTCCACTGGGAGCACTGGGAGGAGCCAGCAGCTCTAAAATAAACAGGCCACCAGGACAGCCACTGGAACAGCAAGTGGCTTCTTGACTGGTCCTGTGAACCTTCAAGCCTTATCTTAGCAGAAGAGTTCAGGAGAAGAGCAGATGGAAGAAGGCTTACTGGGGGCCAAGTGTTTCCAGCAGAAATTAATGTCACCAGCCTGGGACCTCAGCATGGCCATGGTGGCTCCTCCTGCTCCTGAGCACACAAACCCCTCCACTCCTCTCCATTCCTTCAGCTTCTGGTTCTGAACAATGGGCCCTTTGGCATTTCCCAGTCTCACCATGGCAGTTTTTGGGATGGAGCACCTGAACAGATCCTCTCCAAGCAGGGCAAGCAGAGGCAGAGCTGGGGTTCCCTTTCCACTGCAGAGCTGAGAGAGCAGCAGCTCCTGGTGCTCTGCAGCACTGACTGAGCCTGGCCAGGGCTGCAGCTCGAGACTCAGCCTTTGCCAAGAGATTGGATTTCTGTCAGCTTCTCAAATCTCAATGATTTCAGGTCCCACAAGCCCAGATCAGCTCCAGCTTCTGAAAACTTAATGTGGGGTCTGAAAAGCAACAGGCTTGGCCTCACTGATGCCCTATTTGCGAACTTCTCATCTTCTAGGTATTGGAACTTATTAATAATGAGAGGAAAATGCAGGAGAAGCCCGTCAGTGCCCAGATCTACCCTTCAGACACCAACCCATGGACTGTGTCCACAATTCAGCAGCACCTAAACGTGGCTGCTGCTGCTGCTGCATCCTCCCATCAGCCCAGCTGATGCTGAAGGAGGAGCTGAGGGCTCCCCCAGCCCCTCTCTGACCCCCAGGTGGTGCTGGCAGACCCCCAGTGTCCCCCATCCTTGCAGGAGGAGCAGGAGCTCAGCTCACAGGAGGCAGAGCAGTGATTCACAGGCACAGCTGCAGTTCTGTGGGAATAAAACCCTCCCCTGCCTCACGGCCGGAAGAAAATCAGAACAAACGTTCTTAGGAAAGGAGGAGCAGGGCAGCCAAGCCAGAGTAAACAAGCACTGAGAGAAGGGTGTGGAAGGAGGGGACGTGTGGCAGCCAGCAGACTCTGGCTGCCTGAGGAGAGGACAGGAATGGGTTTCTCATGTTGTCTTCTGGCACCTGCAGGTTCTTCCTATCTCCAGACAGGGATCTGAGTGATGCTTTGATTTTGGCAGCTGCTCTGGTTGCTCCCAGACCAGACTTTTGACTTTTGCTGCTTCAGGTTCCAGCTCTGCTTGTGTCTCTGAGGGCTGGAGGGGCCATGAAGGACTCAGTGAGGAAGGTGTGGGGCAGCACCAGGCTCAGCACTGCACCAACCTGTCCCTGGGCCACAGCAGAGCTTCTTCATAACCCACGTGGGATTACAAGGTGGAACTGGGCAGCAGCACGGCCCCAGCTGGCCGGGGTGCCCCAGGAACTGGCCCAGCAGTGGCTGCTCAGAGCAGAGAGCACCAGGCACAGGGAGCCTTCCTGGCCGTGCCCTGCTGGCAGTTGCTGGTTCAGGATCACGCAATGATAAAGCTTTTTTAAGCCTTCAAATGCCTGCCCTCCCCTTGCAGGGGGTTTGTGGGCTGGGGGGAATAGTAAATGAGTCACCCCCCAAATCACGGGTGTGGGCGGAGGCACAGGTGAGAGGTTTTGCCCCTCGGGCCAGCAGAGAGGTGAGGCCCCATTGTGGGTGTGGCTTTTGCCTCATTAACCAAACCACTGATGACTTTAACTGCAGGGAAGTCACCAGTGCTCGTTTATGTAACATTTGCCGTGGTTCTGTCCTGGGGCTGCAGGTACAACAGCCTGGTGACGGGCACGCGGGCCAGGGGACTCATCGCAGTGCTGTGGCTGCTGTCCTTTGGGATTGGACTGACCCCTCTGATGGGCTGGAACAAAGCCATGAGCGGCTGTCCCAACGCCACCAACGAGACAGGCACGGAGCCCCACGGCTGCTTCATCTCGTGCCTCTTTGAGAACGTGGTGACCATGAGCTACATGGTCTACTTCAACTTCTTCGGCTGCGTGCTGCTCCCGCTCCTCATCATGCTGGGGATCTACATCAAGATCTTCATGGTGGCCTGCAAGCAGCTGCACCAGATGGAGCTCATGGGCAACTCCAGGACCACCCTGCAGAAGGAGGTCCATGCAGCCAAGTCTCTGGCCATCATCGTGGGGCTTTTTGCCTTCTGCTGGCTGCCCCTGCACATCTTGAACTGCATCACCCACTTCCACGAGGACTTCTCCAGATCCAAGCCCGAGTGGGTGATGTACGTGGCCATCATCCTGTCCCACGCCAACTCCGTCATCAACCCCATCATCTACGCCTACAGGATCCGGGATTTCCGCTGCACCTTCCGCAAGATCCTCTCCAAGATCCTCTGCAAGGCCGACGAGCTCCCCAAGTGTCCCTCAGAGCACAACCAGCACCTGACTGTCATCAGCATCAGCTCGCCCGCGGCCTCGGTCACCGTGTGACCCAGCCCGGCCCTGGCACTGCCCCTGGGGTGCCAGCAGTGCCAGCAGTGCTCTGGCATGAGCGCTGTGCACTCGTGCAGCCGTGGTTTTATTTTTATTTTTGTAATTAACGTGGTGCCTGGCAGAGGAGTGACCCGAGCGGGGACACTGAGTGCCCTCCTCTGCAGCCCCGAGGGTGTGAGAGCTGTGACCCTGTTGTGTTTCCTGTCCAGGTGTTTCCTTTCCAGGCTGGACACTGACTGGGGAAGACTCACCTGCTGGGGGGTGTTTCCCCAATTGTGCTGCTCATGTCAAGTCATAGGATCTTTATTTTAATTATTATTATTATTTTTTTTTAATATTTGGATTCATTTAGGAGTAATAATATTGTGTCTGTTTTTTGAGTTGCTCTCTAAGTTCATAGTTGACAGCACTTTGGTAATACCCTCATTATTCCATCAATTGTTTGATGCAGCTTGTATTCTCTGATGGGAAAAAGTCTTACTTAGCCCCATTGCTGGTGTGAAACTGAATCTGTGTTCCAGGCACTGAGGGGAGGGGCTGTGAGGATGGGAAAACCAGGTCAGAACTGGCCAGCCCAGCATGGAAACCCCAATTACTGAAAGACTGGAGAAAAGGCTTCACCAAGGTTTTAGAGCAGAGGTTTTATTGCCTTTAAATCACTTTGGTTCACAGGGCTGTGCAGCCCAGTGCCTCAGGTTTGCCTCCAGATCTGTTCCCAGTTATCAGGAGTATCCAGTTATGCAGGAGGCAGAAGTGCCCCAAAGGTCCTGGCTGCTCTGAACCAGAGCCACCAAGGCCAGTGTCACTGCCTGGGGACACAAGCTCCACAACTGGGTTTTTGCTCTGCCAGCCTTGCAGGTTTTAGCTGTGAGAGGTGGATGCTGCAGCTCACCTGACTCCTAAAGCTTGGTCTGGCTGGGGCACCCCTGCAGCCCTGTAACCCCCAGAAGCTGTGAATGCTTTTTTTTTTTCCCCTAACAGTAATTTTCATATTTTTATCCCTGAAAAACTGTACTTGAATCACAAAGAAATCAACTCTATATTTTTTTTTAATTCTGTTGCACTAAAAGGGGGGTACAAGACCCCAGGAGTTTAATTTCTCTGGCATATATAATGATAAATGTGGTGTAAAATCAATTGATAAGCTGAAGAAATCTTGTTCCTGCAGCATCTCCCCTGCCAGCTGGCAGGAGCTGCAGGCAGCAGCTGCAGGAATGACTCTAGGCCCACCAAGCACAGGGAATGGTTCCCTGGGAGTGCTGGATTTCAGTGCCATTGGAGCAGCTCAGCCCCAGACCTGGGTGAAACCACCAGAGAGCTCTGAATGGCTTTGCAATGTTTATGCAATGTCCAAATTTAGCTGCAGCTCAGTGTCTCACACAGGGGCACTTCCAGCCAAGTCTGAGCAGTTCCAGTCCCTGTCCCAGGTGCTCCTCCTTCAGCAGCCCCACTCAGCTTTCTGTGTTACCTTTGGCCGTGTTCCTGCTGTTAATCAGGGCTGGACACCAGCAGGGTTTCACCTGCAGCCCTGGCAGTGCTGCCAAGTGGTTGCAAGCCACATTTATCCTCACAACAAAGGATGGAATCTCCCTTTGGCTGCCTGAAAGCGACCCAAACTCTCACAGCAGCAACAAAATGAAACTCTCAGTGCTGTAACACCAGGAGAGAAGGTCCCAGAACACTCATCCACACGTGAGAGCTTCTAGTGCAGCTCAGCATCCACCCCTGCTCCCTTCCCCTGCCTCTGCTGAGCCAGAATTCCTGCAGGTGATGTGGAGCATCCCTAGCCCAGCTGTGCCTTTGGCTGCCAGGCATTAACTCTGCCCAGGTCACTGGGCACAGGGAGTGCCTCTGTGGATCTGAGCCAAACATATTTCAAGGCATAATAAAAATAGGACACCTCCTTTGCCCCCCTCAATAAAAAGCTCTGAAGGTTTCTATAAAAACGTGAAGCAAAAGCAGCAGAGGAACTTTCTGTAGGCAGTGCAGCTGTGGCCATTGAGCTGTCCCTGCTCTGCTGTGCATGGATGGAAGTGTTCTCCTCATGTTGTATTTGCAGGAATTGTTATTTACATCCAAAATGCTTCCTTTACCACCCACACCACCTGGCTCAGCCTGTGCCCCATTATTTCTGGTGGTTGATGCAGCAGGAGAGGCCACACTGCCCTCAGGGAGCACAGGGCATGGCCAGGGGATCACAGCTGGAAGGAGCAGCCTTGAGGTGCTCAGTCTGAAAATGTTTGACTGAAAGTACAGCAACCACGTTGATGCTCCCAAAGGTCCTGCTCCACTGGAAGCACAGAGCTGTCCCCAGTCTCAGGCTGCTGAGGGGTCCCTGCCCTAGTCCCTGGACCAGGTTTGCCACTGAAAAATCAGAAATGGCTCTGAGCTGCCACCTGCAAAGAGCCACAGCAGCTCTTTAATCTGTGCATCACTGAGACCTGCAGGACTTTTGCATCCTCACATCACAATCATTAGCTCAAACATCTTCAGAAATCCCAAAACCAGAATAAATAAAACTGAAGTCAACACAGGTCTAATTAATTTATCAGTGCCAGGCTGCTAATTAATGTCACACTTGGCTGCAGCACAGGAAGAAATCTACCAGCCTCAATGAGCATTTGACAGCCTTGTAGATACTAAAGATGCCAGTTATGCAGCCAGGAGTGATCCAAATTCTTCCCCCTTCATCCTTCTTCCTCTTCCTCAGCCAGGAGGATGTTTGTGAGCTGCTCCTCAGACACAGGCAGCTCCTGGCAGGCTCCCAGGGCCTGGCTGAGGTAGACAGCCAGGATGTGCTTGCACTGCAAAGTGAACAGCAGGAGCAAGGCTGGAATGCCAGGCCCGGGCTGGGCCAGGAATCCATCCTGGCCAAGATGTGTTCAGAGAAGTGCTCAGCCCCCCCAGGAGCGTGGTTCCCTCCTGGCACAGGTGCTGCTCAGTGTCCCCAGCTCTGCCACCAGGACAGTGCCATGCAGGGAGCTGGCACACAGCTCCTGGCACCCTCCCCACCACTGCTGACCACCAAAAGCCCTCCCTGCACCCAAAATCTGGGGTCCCAGAGGCCACACATGGTCAGGCTCAGCCTGCAGGGCCAGCTCCACACGTGTTTGGTGGGAAATGGGGTTCAAGGAGCAGGGCAGGGCCTTGTCCCCTCCCCAGGGAGCCCCAGCTGAGGCACAGAACTCACCAGAAGGCTCTCACTCTTCTGCAGCACAGAAAACCCAAAGGCAGGGCAGGTGCAGAAGTGGCAGGAGCTGTAGCAGGTGTAGAGGTTGCCTGAGCTCCCAAGGACCTGAAACAGAGGCAGATGAGCAGTCAGAGGCAGGATTCACTTTAATTTCTCTGACTCAGGCTGGGTCTGTGCTGCCCCAGCAGTGAGGGGGAGATGTCACAGCTCAGAAGTGTCCCCAGGCACTGCAGTGACCCACCTAAGCCTGAAGCTCCTCAGGTTTCTCATGGTCTCCACAAGCTCCTCTCCCTGCAGGTGAGGGTGTCCTGTACCTGTGCTGGCAGCAGATCCCAGCCCCAGGGACTTGGCTGCTTCAGGGGACCAGGAGAGCACCACTCCCTGAGCTCCCTCCTGGCAGCTCAGAGGTGGAAATGACAGACTCTTGTCACACACAGCCCAGGTGTGACCCCAGAGCCACCAGGGCCTGGGGACAGGAGAGAGCAGCACTGAGCACTTGCAGGGAGACCTCTCCTTTCCCAACCACTGAAGGCTGTTCTGCTCTCAAAACCAGCTGCAGCTACTGGAATCCACATCTGCCTGAATAAACAAAGCTCAAGTCTCCAGAGAAGCCTCCCTGCTCCGTGTCTGCTTTGGGAACAGCACTGCCTGCTTTTCCCACATGCTGTTCCCTGCAAGGCTGCTACTGAGGCACCAGGGTGAGCAAGCAGGTGAGGGAAGCATTTTTTCCAGCATGGAGCAATCTGTGAGCTGCTGGAGCTGACTGCAGGATATGGGAAAGCCAGTCTATGGATTATTATTTCTCTTTTGGTCTCTTCAAGACTGTAAAATAGCTTTTAGGAAATTACTTTAAGGGCCCAACGTATGGAAAGGGAAGGATCTGCAGGAGCAGAACAGGGCCCAGGGCTCTGAGGGCACATCACAGCCCTCTCCCACCCCAGCCCTCTCCATCTGGCTGGGCTTGTGACACACACATCCCTAAATCCAAAGATGAACACAAAAAGTGAAAAGGCAGTGCAGCTCTGCAGAGTGCTGCTCCCCTCCAGGACATCCCTGGCATTCCAAGCCCCTCCAGAGGACCATTGTCCCTCGCTGTCCAAAGCTGCACTTCCAAGGGGAGCCTTCCCCTGTCCCCTGGAGCCCCCCTGCACCCTCTGCCCATCAGGGAACATCCAGGAGTTTAGGCTCTCCCACAGAAATGCCAATGCCTCCAAGGCCCCCTCACTCCCAGCAGATCCAGGACACAAAGCTCACATTCCCATTTCAGGGTAAATCATTTTTTTTCAGTCTGGCCTTTACCCTGAGTCCTCCTTTTACTGCAGGCTGAGTTTGTTTCACTTGTGATAAGTTTGTTTTCCTGCAGCCCCTTTGATTGCTTTTTCCAAGATGAAGGATTCTGATGGTGCCTTCCCTTCAGAAGTGTTTTCCTTTGGGGAGGGGGAGCCACAGACAGACACTGCCAGATTTGGGCTGAGCTCAGCATTCCCCCATCCTGACCTAGATGGCAAGAACACAGTCTGCCTAATAAAGCAGAATCTAAAATCCAAAGACTGGGGGAAAAAGGTGCCTCAGTTCCTGGCCAGCTGCAGCCCAGCCAAGCACTGGGGTGCTCCCCTGGCCCTGAGGTGACATTTCCTTCTGCTGGCCTCATCCCTGGGCCTCAAGGAGGAAAAATCCCCCTGGAGGTGTCCCTGCCAGGGTGTGGGGGCACAGGAGGGTCAGCTGAGGCACCAGCACAGGGACAGACAGCACCACAGCCTGTGCCAGGGCTGCTGCTCAAACCCTTCACCATGGGGCATCTGCCACACAGTTCTGGGAAATGGACAAAAAAGACAAAATAAAAAAGAAATGAAAGTGCAGGATGTGAGCAGTGCAGGTGCCAGCTGGCAGGGCTGAAGCACTGCCCTCCTTCACTGCCACAGCTCAGCATCTCTGCCACTTGGGCAGAGCTCAAGGGTGCCCCAAATGCTGCCAGGCCAGCACTGCCACATGCAGCACAGCCCCAGCAGCAGCCAGACCCACCCAGGCCCTGCAGCAGGCAGGACTCACCCCTGAGCCCAGCAGGGCAGGTACCATCCAAGCTCTCCTGGGATGATTTCAGCTCTGAGGCACCCAGCCCTGGCACACTCCATCAGTGCCACTCCTCTGTTAGACAGAAGGGCATTGAGGGACAAATAACAGCTCTCATTTCACTGAGGGCTCCTTCTTCTCCCTTCTCAGCTCCTGAGGGCCAGAGCTGCCCTCACTACAGGGCCTGTCTGAGCAGAGCCTTCCTGCCCTGAAGCAGGACCTGAGATGAGCTGGCTGATATGGAATCAGCAGCTCAGATTTGGCTACAATGACCCAAAGGAGTTTCACAACAGAACCAGCCTGGTGGCCTCAGAGAGCTCTCCAGAGCCAGCTGCAAGTGGAAGCACCACCTCACATTGCAGCTGAACCACATCTGGGTGCACATGGCAGCCTGGCTCTGTGGGGATCATCAGCAGGGATGATTGTGCAGTGTCCAGGCAGCCTTGGGTGCCCCTCTCTCCAGGAGCACAGCTGGGGGACGTTCCCACACATTCCTGCAGCACACAGGAATGAAGAGGCAGGGACTGCAGTGCAGTGTCCCACCCAGGGGGTGGGTTTCTATCACCCCAGATGTGTTCCTGTCACTGCTCCAGACCCAGGGTAGACTCTGCTCCTTGTTTCTGCATCTCAGACAGCTGTGATGAGGGAGAATTTCACAATGGCACCAACCTCACACCCCCAGAGAAAATATCTCTTCAGATTCCTCTGTTAATGAACTCATCAGCATGGCCTTAATCAGCAATCAAGCTCCTCTGCAGAGGAATGCAGCTGGAGGCACTCAGGAACCTCCTTCCTGGAGCTTTGTCCTGCATTAACTCCCTGACCCTCCTGGCCAGGGGTTCCTTCTGCACAGGGAAACCAGAGGCTCCCTCTCCCTGCAGAGGCAGGAGAGCAGTTCTGACACTTGTTCCTTTTCAGTGTGCACCAACTGCGCCCATTATTAATATCAGATTAATAATTGATGCCCAGCAAAGCTCTGCCTTAGCCTGCAGGGCCTGACAAAGCTCTGCAAGGAAAATGTCACCATTCTCTGCCCAGTGGCATTTTCAGACAAGCAGCAGTAAAAAAGGGAAAGCCTTTGAGCATTCAGTTAGTCAGGGAGGCAGCTGCTGTCTAAGGGTGCTGGAAGCTTCCTAGGCTTCACCAAACATCCACAGGCAAGCCCTCAACTGCAATCCAAGGCTGCTCTTGAGCCCTGGTTATGATTCATGTCCCTCTGGAGGGGCTGTGTCCTCTCCATGGCCCCAGAAGTGACAAAGGCTCCACGTGCAAACCAAGCAGGGCAAGCTCTGAACATGTGAGAAGGGTTTGTGCCAGCAGCCAGCCCTGACTTCACAGCCCTTCTGTCACCCTACAGGACCCCAGAGCACCTCCAGGGGAGCAGAAAATGTCCTTTGCAGAGGGGATACTTGGAAATGTTCCTCTTGGGTGCTGCAGCACTGAGCAAAACATTCCCTCTTCTCTGGTGTGTGAACAGCACAGAACCAGGCCCAGCCCTGGATGGCTGTGCTACCTGAGGGTTGGGAGTGCTGAGGAGAAGGAATTGGTGCTTTTTGACCAAAATCTTTGGGGCACAGGGTCCTAATGCTCAGCCATGGGCTGGATGCAGCTGGTCAATGGCTCACAGCATGGACAGATTGTCCCAAAAGAGATGCCACCAGTGCTGGGGGACCACAGAACAAGGAATTGTGCACAGTACAGAAAGGTGAGAATGAAGTATGAATGTCTCCTCACCTCTCTCCCACCCTGTGCTGTAATCAGTCTCAGGGCTGAGGTGAGCTCTTCTCCCCAAAATGCCATTTCATGGGGATGTTTCTGTGATTCACAACCTTGGCTACACTGAACCAGAGTGAAACCCAGGGGTTTGGCCTGCACTGCTCCCTCCCAGGCAGCAGAGATCTGCCAAGGAGAGGTCATGACAGGAAAGAAACGCAGTGATGGCAGATAATGATGAGCTGTGTACAACTGGCCAAGAGGAAGAACTTCCTTTGCTGGATAGGATGGGAGTAATAAAGCAAAATTAGCAATCCCTGGAAAACTTCCTCCTGACTGATGCCCACAAACACATAAATTGTCTCTGGCTGGCTGGGAGCCACAGAGAAAATGGTTCTGAACTGTGCTGCTCTAATTCTAGCCTGTGGCTGCTGCTCTCCTGTGTCACTTCAGGAGTTTGTAAAACACTGGTGTCCTCTCTGTGTTTATCCATGCTCTGCAAGTCAGGAAAACACTGTCTCAGATGCCAGCTGGAAACCATCAGAAAGGAAGAGCAGAGAGAATCATGTACCTGGTAGAGAATCCTTCCACTGGGGGACCTGAGCCGGGTGACAGAACGCTGGTCCACCAAATCCAGAGCTGGGACTGCAGATGGGCCAAAAATGAACTTCAGCCTGGAAGAGAACGTGTCTCTAGTTAGGTGACAGCACAAAGGGAGACCCCCTGCTCAGCCTCAGGCACAGAGGCAGCCCTGAAGGAGCCCATTGCAAAAGTAAGACATTTTTCCTTGCTGCAGCAACTGGAAATGTCCCATGAGCAGGAAGGGACAATCAGGGATTTTAGTGGAGCACACAGAGCCAGACTTGGCAGTGCTCAGGGCAAAAGGGGCTCGTGCTCTGGGACACCTCCACTCTGCAGCCAGGCTGTCCTGGATGTGCTGCCCTGGAATGATCAGTTGGTCCTGAACCCCAGCTCCAGGCATGGAGCACACAGCTCCCTGGAGAAAGGGGAGTGAAGGATGATCCATAGTTCCTGGAGCTCCTTCCTCATGCCCTGGAGATCAGTTCAAACCCTGGGGAATGAGTGACTCATTTTGTAGTGATCACATCTCCATCACAGTCACAACTGAGGGAGAAATTCTCCTTTCTCTACCCACCAAACTGCATCAGGAGGAAGCTGGAGAACATCAGGGAATTACTCAAGACACTCCACTGCACATGGAGACACCAGATAGCATCAGTTTTACATCTGTGACCCAGCCAGGAGCAGGGCTCAGAGACAGCCAAGTTATTCCAGATAAACACCCAGGGGCAGCACGTGCCTGATGTCCCTCCACTCTCCCTAAAACCCCTTTCCCTTTCAGGGATGCACAGCATTTATGGATGAAGAGTGCCTGGGATGGGATCACTGCACATCCCAAAGGGGATTTTGTCTCCTGCTGGTGCTGTGCAGGGGTATAGGATAAAGTGTGTGTTAAATATGGACATCTGCACCTTCAGCCTCTTGTCCAGACAGCTCATGGGCTCCAAAGTCATTCTAGACCAGTAAATGCAGCTGCTCTGAGTGTTGCCAAAGAGCTCAGGGGCAACTCAGTTAACTTTACAGACCTTTCACCAGCTGAGAAAAATCTGTGTAGTCTAGATTGGTTCCAAGGGTAAACAACAAGGAAATCAGCAGTGATGAAGAGATAGCACCAAACACGAGCAGAAGACCAAGAGAAAGGGGAACGTTTCCAAGTCCAGGGAGGACAGAGCAAGGCAGAGCCCAGCAAGGCTGAGTCAAGCTGACTGATAAGCAGCCAAGCAGACAGACAGATTCCAGGAAGACCAAAACTTGCACAAACTCAGGGCAAGAAGGGCTGGCTCCATCTGAGGAGGTGGGTGGGGAACACTTAACGTAAGACATTCCTTCATGATTAGGTTTGGGACTGTAAGGGGGCTGAGTTCAGGGAGTTTCAGGAACTCTTTTCAAATCTAGGGAATTCTTTTCTTTTGTATATAATTTGATCACTTCAACAGGAAATGCCCACAGGAAATTCAAGGATTTTGGAGATTTGGAAGAGATTGGGAAATTAAATCAGAATACTTCTGAGCTGCTGGATGCAGGGAATTGATGGAAATCTGGCTGCCAAGAGTTACCACCATTATCAAACTTAACAAGGGAATTTCTCTCCTCCTCTTTTATTTTCTTAGGAGAAGGAAAAAGCTTTCAAATCTGATGCCACCTTTGAAAGGCCACTGTGGTCCCAGGAGAGGGAGCCAGCACACCTTTCACAGGTGTTGTGCCAGATAACTTTAACACAAAGGCATCAGGGCTTGGAGGGTTCCTGGTGATCTCATCCCCTGACAGGCAGGAACACAAGGTTAAAGATGAATCTGAAAAGTCTCTTTCACTGTGACAATGCCTCTTCTCCACCTTCAACACCAATTGCTGAGGGCTGAAGTTGTGAAACTTGGGTCTCTTGGGTCACTACTGGGAATGATTAAAGAATTCACAGGGTGACAAAGCTGACCTGAGACTGCCCCAAACAGAAGAAAACTCTCAGTCTCCAAGTGAACATTTCCCCTGTGCAGGGTGATGAGCAGGACACTTCTCCCTCTCCACCACACGTGCCCATGACTCAAACAGCAGGAGTGAGCTCAGGGAGCTCACAGTGGCAGGAAGGCAGAGGATGAATCACCCTGGAACACAACCCACTCCCACAGCACACTCCTTCCAGACCTGAGGCTGGACCCAGAGCTGGGTTTAATCCTGGGTTTAAATTAGAGCAAGTCATTGCAGGAGATGCAGTGATACAGAGATAATTTGGTGAATCTCTGGAAAAAAACCCTTCAGAACATCCATTTGCAAAAACCACCAGCATTTTTTATGTTTCAGCAGCACTGGGTCAAAGACAGGGAAAACCAGGATGAGAGCCAACCACAGGAACTGAAGGAGAAGACACTCACCCCAGCAGCAGGTCATCAGGCACTGCAACAGAAAGAAAGGGAAACGTGATTTTGCAGAATTTCACATCACAGGGGGGTCACTGTGCCCCCAAGGTACCCCCAGAGCCCACACAGGACTGCAGAGCTCTCAACATCCTCAACATAGCCACAAAAAAAGCAACAAGGAGCAGTGAAATGATCCATGGTGGCAGTGCTGAGGCACTTATCAAGCACAGCAATCACAGCCACAGGGATTCATTTTAAAAAGAAAAGCAGAAGCCCAAATGTACTTTCTTTTATGACATCCTCCTTTTAAAAGCACCCAATAAAAGGCAGGAGGCCTCAGCACCTTACTGTGTCACTTTAAGAAGCTGTTTAAACAGATATATCTATTGTTTTCCCTGAAACTCCCCTGGCATGAGCTGAGAACTCAGGCCTCACAAGTTTAAAGATGTTGTTCTTTTCCCAGCACAGTCTTGCAGGGCGCCACTGGTTTATGGTTTTTACTACAGCCCACTGCAACATTGTGTCTCCATTTATTGGAACTCTCCTTAAGATGGAAAGTTACACTCCAGCAAATTGTGTTTGTTGGAGCTGACAGCTCAGGCTCTGCTTGTCCCCTCTGATCTTTCTTTATCACCCAGGGGACACAGTGTACTCTGTCTCCATATCCCACTGGAAGATCTAGATTTTTGACTTTAAAATAATTTTCTTCCAACAATTCAAAATACTCTCTATGACCTGCACTGTTGGTTTGAGTGTTCCAGCTTTATTTGGATTTAATTCTGCCAAGGGATCAATCAGTTTGTCTCCACAGCTGTCTCAATGTGTGCTTTAGTACCACTCTGCTGCTTTAAGAAGGATGTGTTTAAAGGGATGTGAACTTCTTTTTTTGCTTAGTTTACAACAGGGTTTATAAAGCTCTTTCAAAAGTCACATGTAGATTTTGGATTTACTCTAACCTGACAGGAGCCATAGTGCAAGTGTGCCAAAAAGCTGTCACTGGGGTCACTCTGACAGTTTAGACATGGAGCCTCTGCCCATTCCTCACTCCCACGGAGTGCTCAAGACAGATTTATCTGAATTCTTACTTGTTTTGTGCAGTTAAAAATATTCCTTCAGCAGACCCTTTCCTTGGGAAGAGCCACTCTGTGCAGCTCATCCAGCAAACACAAACACTAATATTCCCTTAGCACAGACCCAGCAGAGGTAATTATTCTTAATTAGCTGCTGGAATTGGCCAGGATTTCAGCGCTGGCTGGTGCTCCTGCCGCTGAAGCCCTGGGAAGTTGTTCCTGGGATCAGCAGCACACACCCTCTGCCGGTCAGCCAGGACACGGCTTGGGAAATTCCTCCTTCCACCACAGTTTAGGGATTGGTGAGCCTGCAGAACCAGGAGAGCAGAGGGCACAGCAGAATTCCTGCCCGGAGCATTAATTTATCATCCCTCAGGTCTGACCACGGGCACCAGGAGCTATAAGAACCCATAAGTCTCACACTAAAAAGAAAAGAGTCCAAAGTGGTGTGATTTTTGAATTTGACTTGGAGGAGGGCTGCTCCTCATTACCTGAGCTTCACAGCGGTCTGCTGTCACAAGAAGGGACATCGGGGTCCCTGAGAGAACAGGCTCTGGCAGGAAAGGGGAGGCACGGGTCACACCTCTGGGGTGTGACAGGCCGTGCCCCGGGGATCCTTCACCTACCCTGGGAGGTCTCCGTAAAAGCCTTTCTGATCTCTCTCAAGAGCTCTTCTGCCACTGCTGGCAAGGTACTCCCGTCCATCCCAGGGGATCATCCCTGCGAACGAGACAGGACGGGAGACTTTGGGAAATCTTTGGGGTCACCGTGGACACTGAGAGTGGACAGGTTATCGGGGCACCCCATCCCAACCAGGGACTGGCACCCTTTAAGATGTTTTACAACAACTCGTGAAGTGTTTTTTGTCACGCTCTGGGAGCAGGCTCCCCACAGACACGCGGTGTCTCCTCACAGGTGCCGCGGGCAGGGCCCAGGCTGCCCCCAGGCCGCTCCTCCCTCACGCCGGGGGCACCGCCGGCCTCAGCTCCTGCCGGGGCCGCTGCAGGGCACAGCTCGGTGTAGCCCCTCTCTGTTTACCCACACGGATGAGATCCTCCTTCTGCCGCCCGGCTCCCTCAGCCTTCCCCGGGTGCTGCTCCAGCCCTTCCCCATCTCTGTCCCCCCGCTCCGTGTCCTGAGGAGCCCGGCGCGGCCGGGGCGCTGCGGGCGCTGCTCACCAGGGCGGGCAGAGCGGCGAGACCCGCTCCCGGGGCTGTTCCCCAGCACTGCCCGCTCCCGGGGCCGCTCCCGGTCCCGCTCCAGCTCCCAGCTCCCGCTCCCGGCGTGACGTCACGACACCGCCCCGTGCCCCCGTGACGTCACGCGCGGCGGGCGCGCCCTTAAAGGGCCCGCAGGGGATGGCGGCGGTGGCGGCCGCGCTGCCGCGGGCGCTGTCCCGGCTGTGCCCCCGGCGCTGCTCCGCCCTGCCCCGGCCCGCCTGGCCCGGGGCACACCGGGGACACCGCGGGGACGGCGGCAGCGGCACGGC